CGTCGCGTTGCGCAGCATTGCTCCCCACGGACCACCAAACCCGCGCGGCTGCGCCGTCGACACCGGCACGAAGCTCAGGTGCGTGCCGAGCTGCGGGTCGCGTGCCCACCAAAACGGCGGCGGCAGCGCCACCATCAGCCGCGTCGGGACGGCGCTCCCACCGCCACGGATGTCGTTCTGCGTCAGGCTGCCACCAGCCGCCGTCGTCGTCACGGCGAGCGTCGGGCACGCCACGTCGCTCCACCACAGCGTGCCGCTCACCGACGCCGTCGAGGTCCGCGTGGGCAGCAGTGCCACCGTCTCCGTCACCTGCAGGGTCACCGTCGCCCCGTAGTGTGTCGGACTGTAGCGCGCCGTGCTCATGCCCGGCGTCGAACTCGGTGTCGGGCTGCGCGTCTCCGTCAGCGTCGCCGCGTGGATCACCAGCGGCATGCCAGGCGTGCGGTTGCACCCGTCCACGTGCGGCAGGTACACCGGCAGGCAGTCGCGCCCGTACCCGCCCTCAGCACAGCGGCAGCCGCACGACCCCGACATCGCCCTCGTCGCAGCTGCAAAGCAGTGCACGTCGGCGTCGCACACGCCACACGACACGGGGCGGAATTCCCCGATGATGCCGGCGGACCTGTAGTCCATCGGCCGCAGCGCATGCCCGTTGAGCGTCAGGCACCCCACGACGAACCGTCGGCCGGTGCCCCCGAGCGCAACGGTGCCATCCATCAGAACAGACCCGCTGCCGGCGTTCCCGTGGAGCGTCAGCGTGCTCTGCACGAGCTCCGCACGGCGCGGGTACGACGGCAGCGAAAGAAGCATGCCGCTGATGCTGTTGCCGCGCACCGACAGCCACGACCCGGACGCAAACGACGCCGACCCCCGCAGCTCCAGCAGCGCGCCATCCGTCAGCGCACCGGCGTTGTCGTTCACCACGACGGCGGACACGTTAGCCTCCACCCCGCTGCCAAACACCAATCCATGCGCGGCGTACACCTGGCTCCCCGACACGCGCAGCACAGCGCCCCCAGACGCAACCACGCGCGCACTCGCGTACAATGCATATTCACCACCGAGCACAGCCGCGTCCAGCGCAACACCGCTACCGACAAGCTCCAGCACCGCGCCGTCCACCACCACCGTCCGCCCACCAGTCACCACGGTCACGAGAGCAACGCCGGATACAACCAGCACGGACCGCACAAGCCGCAGGCCCGACAGCACCAGCACCGGTGCGTACGGCGAGGACTGCGAGCCGGGAAGATACACAAGCGGCGTCGACCTCGCGGAAACCAGCAGGGAGTCCGTCACCGTCAGCACGGACCCCGCAGGGAACGTGCCGGTCAGCACAAGCGCACCGCTCAGCGCCTCCACATCGCACACCGACAGCTCCACCGGCCCGCTCTCGTCGCTCCCCGCCGCCACCGCACCGCGCAACGCTCCACCGCCCATCACGTACAGCACGGCACCGTTACGCAGCGACACGTTCTGCACAACGATCCGCACGCCGTCTCGCGCCATCCACGGCACGTAGAGCACAGGGCTCACGCCGTCCAGCACAACATGGCGCAGCGTCACCTCGCTCGCGCCGGCAGGCACAACGAACACCGACCGCACCGTCACGCCCTCGCGGAAAAACACACTCGACGCGGTGCCCACAGCGGGCGGCAGCGCAGGAGCTCCCACAGGCAAGCACGCCTCGCCGTACCCGCCGCTGCCGCACGTGCACACGCACACACCGTTCCTCATGCTCGCAGACGCCGTCCCGGGCGCGTAGCAGTGCGTGTCCCTGTCGCAGGCGTCGCATCCAGCAACGTCGATGCTCCCAGCGTCGCCAAAACCAGCCGCTGCGTACTCCTCCGCCGTCGACAGGGCACGTCCACCAGCGTCGTTGCACGCCACCCTCACATGCGCCCCAGCCGCAAGCGACAGGCTCACCGACACCATCCGCGGCAGCAGCGCTCGGTTGCGCACAAAGCTCAGCGTGCTCCCAACAGCGGTCACGGCGCCAGCGGCGTGGAGCATCTCCCTCGAGACGCCGTCGTGCACGTTGCCCTTCGCCAGCAGCATCGACCCGCCAGCCAGGCTCACCGTCGAATAAAACGCCACCGCGTAGTCCTCCGTCGACGAGAATTCGCTTCGCACAAGCGCCACAGCGGAGCCCGACACGCTCACAGCCCCACGCACAGACACCGCGTGCTTGCACAGCAGGAAGTCGCTGTCAACAAACGCCACCACGGAGCCACCGCTGGCCGCAACACCGCCCTCCACCGACACGCACAGCCCCAGCGCCGTCTGCACCGACAGCCCGTCCACGTACAGCGCACCGCGCGACGACAGCGCCACGCCGCCAACAAACAACACGCCAACAGCGTCACGGAACACAGCCACCACCTGCGTGCGCGCAATGGTCAGCACGCTACCCGTCAGATTCACGCTGTGCAGCACGAGGTACGCGGAGGCGTCGCCAAGGCCGTAGGCGCCGCGGTACGCAACACGATTCTCTGCGATCAGCACCGAGTCCAACACAGTGACGCGCGAGCCAGGCGGAAATCGGTTCGCCACCACCACGCCGCCGCCGGAGCGTGACTCAAGCCCGCTGACCAACACATCGGCGCGCTCGCCAGCAGGCGGGTCGGACAGCCACCCAACAACGTACAGGCTCGCTCTGCTCACAAAAGTGCAGTTCGACAGCGTCACATTGCGCACGCTCCCTGACATCGACGACACGTCCACCACAACGTCTGCCGCAAAGGTCACACCAACGTAGCACGCCACCGACGTCCCGAAACCGGCGTTCACCTCCACATCCACACGCACGTCCCGCACGCACAAGTCGGCGCCGTCCGTGCTCGGTGGCTCGGGGACAGCAACGGGCAGGCACGCATCGCCGTGGCCGCCCTCCGCGCACGTGCAGTCGCAGCCATCACTCGACGCCGTCGTCGTGTAAGCGGGGAAGCACGAAGCCGCGAGAGCGCATGGGTCGCTGCAGCTCAGAATGGTGGCATTGTACGCGGACGGGATGTCGTAACTAGCCCCCTCCCCGTCGTTCACAGTGTTGCAAGTAGCCACAATCGCTCCGTTTGTGAGATCGCGGGGCCCGGTGAATATCCGCAGAACTGTCAACGTGCCCGTGCTGGACATGAATCGGTTGCCGGAAACAGACACCGTGGAGTCGCGGAGATTCAGTTTGGGAAGGAGAAAAGCAAACGCATCCAATGGTGATACGCGGCAGAGGTTGCCGCTCAACTGCAGCCAGGAGTTGTAGTAGATGTTCGAGGAGTAGCTTGAATAAAACACAGCCAGGCTTCCCTGCATGTCGTTGCCCTGAAACACAACCGCCGAAAAACACTCCACACCTAAGGTCCACAAAAATAACATGAAGCACTGCACCGGCCTCGTCACAACGTTGCCTCGGATCACCACGGCAGAGTTGTTCAGTACACTCAGCGATGAGGAGTGTCTAGTCCCCTCAAGATATATAAGCGTGCCGTTAACGCCAGCCATATGAAACGCGTTGCCCATCACCGCAAACACGGAGTGCCACAACACCCTCAGCGCAGATCCAACGACGTAAATGGCGTTTGAAGATGCCGTCACGCTCTGAAACACATTGCCAGTAAAAACCACTGCGGAGTCGTTGCTGATCGCCAGTCCATTCATCACAACACACGACGGCCTTGTAATGTCCAAACCCGGCCGAGGGATCAGCCTCGTGACAGTGAAGCGGTTCCCGCTGATCGTGATGTTCGTGTGCGGTGGAAACCCACCCTCCGGACTGAGCAGCGCGTCATGGAACGTGTTGCCGGTGACGAAGATGTTCAGCGACCCCACAGCAGCGTACGCGTTGCCCAACAGCAACAGCACGGCGCCGTCCCTCCACGTGCATCCATCAAACGTGACATTCGCCACGTCGCCCGCCATCGCCCCAATCAGCACCGTCAGGCTCATGCCGCCCCCGCTGAACGTCACGTTGCGGTAGCACAGCCACGACAGCCCGCCACCCACAGCCTGCGCCACCTCGGGGTACACCATGTCGCTGATGCACCCACCAATCGGCGGTGGTGGCGGTGGTGGCGGTGGTGGCGGCGTGAGCGGTGGCGGTGGGCCAGCAGGCACAGGCGCCGGGACGCACACATCGCCGTGCCCTCCAGCAGCGCACTGGCACTTGCAGTCGCTGACAGCCGTCGTCAGCGGAGCAAAGCAGTCACCGTCCTTCGTCCACTCACCGCATGCGGCAACCGTCGTCACGTCGGTGATGCCGTGGAGCTCCAGTTCAGCCGCCGTCGTCACCTCCCGTCCCGCGACCGTCAGGCACCCAGCAACGAACCGGTAGCCGGCGTCAACCCGCGATAGCAAGGAGACCGACCACCCCGTCGAGCCCATCGTGCAGCCCGTCAGCGTCACCACACTGCTGCCGTCAATGATCAAAAAGATGGATTCAGTTGCGTAAAAAATCGCACCCACTCCCACGTCGTTGTCACGCCAGTCCAGCCAGCTTGACCGCTCAACGGTCCACGAGTTTAGTGAGTAGATGGCATAGGACACGGAGCCGCTGTTCCCCACCACGCGCAACACGCTGTGATCCGACACGCTCAATTCTTGTTGCTGACACAGCAGGCTTGTCCCGAAGGAAATTGTATTGTTGAGCAGCGCTAAAACGGAGTGGTCACTCACACTGAGAATATTCATGTACAACAGGTGTTCGTACCCATCAAAGCTGCAGTACTGCACATACAGCGAGCTGCCATGCAACAGCGTCAGCGTCCCAATCGAGTACAACCCAAGCGCACCGTACCTCAAGGAATGAGCCTTGACGTTGCTGACCAGCAGCGAGGATGTAGTCAGCACAACGTTCCTCAGTAACACGACGCTCAGCATGTTGGTCCTAGTTTCAAGCAGCTGAACCTCAAAGGCCTGCACCGCGTCAACCTCCGTGACGGCGATTTCGCAGTGCAGCGGCAGGGCAAGCGCAAACATGACAACGGAGGAACGCATCACCGCCTGGCTCACGCGGATCAGGACACCGGCTGACTCGGCCGCCGCAGCACCACCAACAAACTGCAGCGCGGCACCCTCACGGAATGTGCATCCAGTGAGCGTGATGTTGATGGGGAGATGCAGCGGCATACGATTGAGAAAGAAAGTCAACACAGCACCCACGCCGCTGAATGTCACACCCGCGTAGCAGTGGTGCGTCTTCCACATGTTCAGCGTAATTTTCGGCAGCGTCTGGTTCACCACGCAGCTCGTGTCGCCGTCGACGGCTCTCTCCGCCACGGGCGGCACAACCGTGTCGGGCACCTCGAAGGGAAGACACGACGCGCCATGCCATCCGTCCTTGCAGCTGCACGAGCACGAGCTGCGGTCCACCGACTCCGTCCCGGGCATGTAGCACGCCGCATCATCGCTGCATGTGCCGCACTTGAACACCTCCACTTCGTCCGGAAACACACCGTCGTACGACACCTCCTCACCGCCCTGCAGACTGCA